GGGACACTCTCAGACCCCTTAGTACGCCCCTGGGACCCCTAGGGCAACCTGGGACCCTCCCCAGGACCTCCTTGATCCTCTGGGAGCCTGGGAACCCCTGGGACAGCCCCAGACCCCCCTGGGACCCCCTGGGATCCTCTGGGACACCTGGAACCCCCCTGGGACTCCCCCTGAACAACTGGGACCCCCTGGGACCTTCCTGGGACCCCATGGGACACCTGGGAGCCTCCTAGACCCTCTTGGGACCCCCGTGACACCCTGGACCCCCTGGGAATTATGGGGACACCTTGGGACCCCCTGGGCTCCCTTCGGGACCCCCGTGGGACACCTGGGACCCTCTTTGGACGCCCCCAGATCCCCCTGGGACCCCCCAGGAACATCTAGGCCCCCCTGGGACCCCTGTGGGACACCTAAGAGCCCCTGGGACCCCCCTGGGACCCCTGTGGGACACCTAAGAGCCCCTGGGACCCCCCTGGGACCCCTGTGGGACACCTAAGAGCCCCTGGGACCCCCCTGGGACCCCTGTGGGACACCTAAGAGCCCCTGGGACCCCCCTGGGACCCCTGTGGGACACCTAAGAGCCCCTGGGACCCCCCTGGGACCCCCTTGGGACCCCCGTGGGACACCCTCAGATCCCCCTGGGACCCTCCCCGGGACCTCCTTGATCCTCTGGGACCCCTTTGGGACTCTCTCAGATCCCCCAGGACCTCCCTTGGGACCCCCCTGGGATACCTAGGAGCCCCTGGGAGCCCCTTGGGACACCCTCAGATCCCCCTGGGACCCCCTTGGGACACCTAGGATGCCCTGGGACCCCCTTGGGACCCCCGTGGGACACCCTCAGACCCCTTAGGACCCTCTGGGACACCTAGGACCCCCTGGGACCCTCCCCGGGACCTCCTTGATCCTCTGGGACCCCTTTGGGACTCTCTCAGATCCCCCAGGACCTCCCTTGGGACCCCCCTGGGCTACCTAGGAGCCCCTGGGAGCCCCTTGGGACACCCTCAGAGCCCCCTGGGACCCCCTTGGGACACCTAGGAGCCCCTGGGAGCCCCTTGGGACACCCTCAGAGCCCCCTGGGACCCCCTTGGGACACCTAGGAGCCCCTGGGAGCCCCTTGGGACACCCTCAGATCCCCCTGGGACCCCCTGGGCACCCCTCGGAGCCCCTTAGGACCCCCTTGGAACCG